GTCGCCCTGATAAGGCACTTGACTTTGTTTTCAGCAGCGAAGACGTCAGACTCCAAGAAAGAATAATTGTAGTGTAATAACTTGACGGTCAATCAGTGTTTTTGCCAACATGGCTCCTCAGATGTAAGTTGGGATGTTTGGCTGTAGCGTTGATGATTCTTTGTCAGTAAAAATATACTACAATAACTGTCAATCAAACCTGACTGCCAATACAATGCTTGGGGGAGGGGCAGAATCAGTGGACAAAAAGGACTAAAAAGCTCAATACACCATTTGTTGTCCCTCAATGTGATGACATCATAAATTACTCGTCAACTCCAGTTGGACTTTATTGCCAGATTAGTCGGCGTGAAACAATCGAATGTCACCAATAGCCCAGTCATAACAGCGCCACATGCAGGAAAGGGATCTGATCTACATTCTCTGTGTTTATCAAATGTAACCAACAATTTCTTCATACTCTACCTTCAACCTGGCAAACTGCAGCAGTAGTTTCTCTGTAATAGCTCTACCATTAAGACATAGAACCATTTACCTTAGAAGTATTTGGTTTGACATCTCACTGCGCTCTCTGACACACACACACACACACACACACACACACAGGACCATTACGACAGTGTGAGTTACATTCACTGTTTATCTGACATACAACGTAACATGAATGTGCCATACATTTTAATAAATACAATTTACACACTCAGTCTGTCCATCAGTGTTTTTGGAATGCTGTCGAGTATCGTCCATCGCTTCCTTCCCGTGTCTTTTGAGTAACCTTTACGTTTTAGTTCCGTACACATCGCAGGAAGTTTGATGTGTGTACCTGATGTATTGTGTTGTTAGCCTTGGGATTGTGTTCCAGTCCATTGGAGAAACCTGAATTGTCCAGGGCCTGACCGTCAGCTACTGTTCTTTTGTGGGTGTGTTTGGGTTTAATCCACATTCTTTTGTTGGTTGTGTGGCAGAGGTTTATTTATTCTACTGCCATGTCCTCACAGTAAACCACGAATCACGCATCCATATTATGAAGGAGTTCTACAGGAACTGGAATTCTCTTCAGAACCAAAAATGAGTTCCGCCCCGAGCACACACTCTCTTTAATCCACTTTCTTTGATTATACAAAGTTTATTCACATTATTACATTTCAGCTTCACTGTTCTCAGGACCAATCCTGCAGCTGCATCGTCCACGTCTTGACCCGTCTGTTCTCAGTCCAAGAGCTGTGTTAGACTCTGTCTCTCTCTCTGTCTCTCTCTGTCTCTCTCTCTCTGTGTCTCGCTTTCATTCTCCTTCAGCCAGTTGCTTTGTTTTTGCTACACCCACGGCTTTGTCTTCTTCTTTGTACATTAGGTGTGTCGTA